TATTCAGGAATTCTGGTTGGTTATTCAGGAGAAACTTAGGTTAGTTATTAAAAGAATTTAATTGCAGCATTTCCAAAGATTACAAAGAATTTTCTTTTACGATTTATAAACTTTTATAAAATAAAAAAATATAAACAAAAAAACGGTACATTAGATAGCCAACACATGCAACTAATGATCGTTGGAATCTAATATCAAATTAAATTTCCCATGTTTCATATCATTGTCAAGATATAATATAAGAATAAGTAGTTAGTTAAGGTCAAGATCTAGTAAATGGAAGGTGCCCACAGATTAATCAAATTTGAGATATAATTTCCTTTATTGATGCTTTACAACTTTTGTTTGGTCAAATAAGGTGTTTCGGGGCAAGATTTGTAGGTAAACAAGATGAAAAAAAGTCTCTCAGAAAACGGTAATTATTATGTTAATTGCCTCTTCTTTAAATCAATATCAAATTTGATATAGGTATCCGGTTTACTTCTCTTATGATTTCAAATTAAATGTCATGAAAATACCAAATTTTCTACATAATTCTTCTAATGCCGTAAAGTTCGGGAAAAAGAAAGTTGAAATTGATTATGGCGTCATAATGGATCTAGCACCAAAAAATTATAGTCTAAATTTATTTACAAGATCTTGACCTTAAGATGAATGGAGGAAACAAAATGTATGAGAATATACATGTATCTATTGAATACATTAGTTAGACGTATAAATATTAATTCTCTGAAAATGTTGGCCTCTCTCTCTCTCTCTCTCTCTCTCTCTCTCTCTCTCTCTCTCTCTCTCTCTCTCTCTCTCTTTCGTCATATGTTTGTCACTATTATTTTTTAAGTTTTCAAATAAAGTATATATAATTAATAACAAATAACATCGACCGGTAGAAGTAGCCAGTCTCATTGATAATCAACAGCAATGGCTGATATCAACAGTTCGCGTGTTCGAATATAAGTGCCGACTAGCTCAGTCGGTAATGCACAGAATCAATAATATTTAGGTCCGGGATCGAGACCCGATAACAACAGTAAGACTGACTTTCTTTTTTTCCCTTTTATAAAAAAGAAAGAAAAACATCACAATTACTCAAGTTTTTTTTAGTTTCTTTTATAATTACTTTTCCCAATAAATTAGCGTGCTGAGGATGGTATGATTTCAATTTTATTTACTGGATCTTACTTTGGATGTTCATATTAAGCAATGATTCAAATCATAATAAATAAATCTCTTTTTTCTTGTAGACTACGAACATGTAGAGACATGCATTCAAAAATATATAAGGATAGTAAAATGAAACGCTTAAGAGATAAATATAAGAATAATCTTATAGATATCTAAGAGAAAAAAGAATATCCCGTGGCTCGATGGGAATGGATTGAAACAGATATGAACAATCACTATCGGCAAGCAGAATGCATGTTTCCTTACACGTCACGTGATGGAATTTTAGTATTCACAGAGTTACCTGGGTATAGAAATCACGTGGTTAATTATAATATTCAACAGGTAACAACGTGGTCAAAATGGCCAGTATGCTATAAAGAAAGTGAACAAAGAAGAAACAGTTTTTTTCTCTTTTTAACCATCAGCGCATGTTTGTCTATTGATCTCCTTTTAATATGAGGTAATATATATAAATATACAACTACCATTAAATGGAGATCAATAGACAAACATGCGCTGACTATGTATTAAGCCTGTAAAAAGATGGGCGTACTCATTATCCTATGGAGATTGCAGAATATGCGATGACCCCTCCCTATAAAAACGACTTCGAACTTCGTTAATACGAACTTTTAATTAACGTAATTACACAAAGTTGCAGTTAAGACATTTACCATTTCTACCATTGAAAGAGAAATGCCCATTTCAAAAATTAATTATGTCGCAATTTCTAAGTTCCTTAAGTGCAGTCATCCTTTAATCCTGAGATAATGAAGAACCCTGCAAATACTCTTTCTGATACATGTAATAATATAAGCCAAATGTATAAAAAGATTTCTAATAACAAAATGGTGCTGAATTGAAAATCAATATGTGCTAGTTATTTATCAAAGAACTATATGCGGTATATTGCATATATTTGCCCCCACAAAAGTGAAATTTTGAAAACTTCCTGAAATGTGCTGAATTCAATAAATTGTATGAGAAATATAAATAAACAGAAAATATTATAGTTTCAAAGCATTGTATTCATAATTTTTGGTTTTATGACGACACAAACTAGTCCGATTTTATATCCTTTTTCAGAAAGAGGACAAAATGGACAAGATTTAAACAATTTTAGCTTTAAAATTTAAAGAGCGCAAGATTGCTCAGGAACAATAATATTGGCATATTTCATTGATATTATCAATCTACACATTATATCAAAATATTGATCCTGAACACGCATGCGCTCGGTGACAAAATATCGACGAAATATGTATACTTTTCTGTAAAATTCATAAAAAAAACTTAAATTTACGTCATGTTTGTGACGTCATTGCGAACATATGACGTCATTTCTAATGAAAATATCCAGTGCTTTGAAGTGAGCATATACTTTCCTGTTTAAGAACTTTATGAAATATATCTCCATCAAACTTTGATTTGGAGGGCAAATATTGGTTATTACCGAATAAAGTTCTTTATGTCATACATGTTTATATGCCAGTTTTTTTTATTATCTATACTTCTAAATTAATAAATATTGAAAATAAAATCCTAAACGCCTGTTACATAGTTCATACTTTGTCCTGTAGGTAAACACAACTAGGTATAATGTGAAGCCCGTAAACTATATTCAAAGTAAAGTAATTATTCTAGTTTTTATAAAAAATTATATTTTCCTTTTCAGTAAATTAATAGCAGCCTTAAAATAAGGGGATCTTCGGTGTGCATTAAACGTTTCTGGCATTTTAAAATAAAACAGACAACAAGCAAGCGTTTAAATATTTTATGAAAACATCTTTAATGCATTATTCATTCAAATCATGATTTAAGTCAAATGAAAGAAATGATTCGTGTTCACTGATTAAAAACAAAATCAAGTTTACAAACCCTGTCCGATCTCACTTTTGATTGAAAGTTTTAAAACTTCAGATGGCATCGAATCCAATGCTAAAAAGAAATCCGAGGCATAAAAGTAATGGTAAGGAATTGATATTAACCGTGATTTATCTATATATTGAAAGTTGTGTAAATAATTCTTCATATAAAATATGCATATCTACAACTAAAAGCATCTTGGCAACTAACTCAGACAATATTGATAAAGTAAAAATCTTGCTAAGAGAAAATATGTCAAATATTGAAAATGATTTACCAAACGATTTACTTTAGATTTTTATGTGTGCTATAACTGATAGACATGTTTCAGACTTTATTTTGAAATAGTCTTTTGTATTTAATAGCTTTATACATATGGAGTGAAAAGAACAATTTTCCTTCAAAAATGATGATAAATAATTTTACCAGTGCTAATTCATCCTTGATGTAAATGGAAACAGGCCGTAGTATGAAACGTTATAAAAGTACAAAAGATATCAAAATTACGTTTCAATTACATACACAAAAAAAAATTCAAATAATAAGTAACGATAGTAAAATATCTTTAGCATAGCATAACAGGTATTACAATGTTGCTTTAATACATGTCAGAAGAAATTGCTGAACAATGACATTTAACCTGTTTCGATTAAAAGGATGTTCATATTCCACTTCTGCTTCGAAACTAATTGCTAGATTTGGAAGTATTTCTTTTCGGCATAATTCTGTAATTTAATGTCAGTTAAATCTTTAAATCTGTCATCAGTGAAAAATATACAGTTGCTTGCACTAAATTTTCACTAGTGTTTTATAAATCATTTTAGGTATCTAATTTTCTGAACTTTACCTCCTCGTAACTCGGCTACAAAGAGGTTGTCTATGGTGTCTACACATAAACCACACGGGTCATTGAGAACATAGTTATCAATATAACGGAGGAACTGTCCGTCCTGATCAAGAATGTGGATACAGTTGTTGTAACAGTCTGCTGTCAGGATCTGACTCTGGCTGTCTGTTGCAATGCCACGCGGATAAAATGATCCTTTGGTAGTAGAGGGAGGACCAGAGTATTTAAATCTTAATTTTCCTATCTGATTAACAACCACTACCGCTCTGGCTTCATAGTCAGCCACGCAGATATCCAGGTTCCTGTTCTCACAAATGTCTTTTATGTAATGTTTGGATGAATACAGAGGTTTACCATCAAGATCAAACTGAATGGTTTGTATTTCTGTGGACTGAAAGAAACGAACAACCTTTGACTGTTCAAAATAATCTTTAATCATAGTAACCAGGAGGTCACCAGAAGAGGTACAAAAGATTTTGTAAGGTGTCCAACCTTGTAGTCTGATCACTTCCTGTATCTGGTCGTTCTCCACTATGTTCACTGTTCTTTTCATGTAGTCAGTATAAACGAGTTCTCCTTTCCAGGTCACTGCTATGTCACATGCTGACTTGGCTTTAATTGACCTCAGAAGATTGCCTTGAAGTTCGTAGAGTTTGATGAGTTTGTCTTCTCCACATGTCCAGATTTCTTCATCACTGAAACAGGAAACACTGTAAAGACAATCATATCCAGTGTCTATGGTTGTGATGAGCTCTGGTTCATCAAGCAGTGGTTTGATTGGAGGGAAAGAAGCGGCCTCAAGTGTCTTCATTGTGTAGCCATGTTCTTCTGTTGTAATGGATAATGATGACAGAAATCCAAACATTTGATAGAACTGTTCTGTGTTGATCTGATGAGGATAGAAATTTGGATATAAAATGTTGAGTTTATGAGGTAAAACTCTGAATTCAGAATTCCGGTATATGTAATCAGAAGTTAGCAAGGCATCATCAGAGTCCAGTTCATTTATTAGATAAAATCTGCACAACTTTATTTGTAAAATTTTATTCTCCACTTCTCTTTCCTCTTCATTTAAAGAAGCCAAGTGTTTTCTTTTCATCTCATGAATATCAGATTTTTGTTGCTTGACGATGAATTTAATTTGTCTGTACCAGTCTTCTTCCTGTATATCGACAGCTGATAGTAGCTTCTTGTAATGTTTTTCAACTTTATTTTTCTCTAAGTTTAAATCTCTAGCAATTTTCTTATAAGTAGGGTATAGTCTTTGTTCAAACTCTTTTAAATCCTTTCTTAAATATTCTTTTTTAGAGCGTGGTGTTCGCAGAATATCTTTTATCTTATGTCCATGATGTTTTCCAGATGAGATACAGCTAGAACAGACATGGATGTCACATTTCTCGCAGGAAAGTTCACAATATTTTTCCAAATGGTTTGAACATTTTGGGTAGCTAGAAGTAGAAGTTCTGTGTTTGTAAAGAACAATATTATGTCTTTTATATGAATCAGAAAGATGCTCCCCAACACAGGCCTTACACAGATTAATCTGACAAAGTTCACAATGACTCTGTACTGCAGCTCTTTGACACAGGTCACAGAGGAGGAGTACTTGAGCTCTGTCCAGCGGGTCCATTACTTGGGTTTCGATCACTTATTTAACCAGATGACCCGGCTAAGATATAAAACATACTGGAGAATGTTTTCATGCCGTGACTGTAAAGTTTATACGAGAATTTAAATCGAAGAATTAATGTTTGTTTTACACATTTTGAAACTAAAGAATCGTCATCTGATTTTCTATTTTGTTGAATACACTTTTATAATTATGTTATCTAAAATGTTTTAAATTAGCTAAAAATATGAAGATTTACCTGTAAAATCAATATGGCTCCCTAACTACTCTTTGTAAACAGAAACACGTATTCTACTTTCTGGTCCTCTTTTTAGACCTGCTGGTAGGTCTCGTGATTTAAAAATCTGTGAATAACAAAGACTAATATTCAAAAAGCTTTGCTTAACTAGGTGCCCCTTTGACTAAACATGATAACATCTATTCAGTAAAACAACTTTATGGTTGACCACACTACATGAACTTGATGAAAATCGTGACTATAAATTTCCTCATATATTGAAAATCATACATGAAGTTTTGTTATTCTATAGTCTAAGATTGTGATGCCTGTCTGTCAAACTGCTGATATATGATAACTTATTGGTGACAAATGCAATTAAATTAAAAGCATTGTGACTACAAATGTCTTTATATGCAATCGTCTCGTTTTAAACAGTTTTATCTGATTAAAGTCGATCATTATTTAAAGAGCTTTGATGGCTCATTTGTGCTATTTTATTGAAATTGTTTTAATACTTGAATACTTGATATCGCGATTACTTAACTTAGCATACCTATTTAGAGGAGTCAACAAAAGGCATTATTCCCGAGAACACATTCAATAAATGTCTGACAATTATATTGTGCTGACTTCCGTGATGGACACTGAGTTTAACTTGGCCAGTATAGTCACGATGGAACATATTCAATTGCAAATATATACATGTGGTATCTTTCCATTTTATAAACATACAGAGAATAAATATCTTCCTCCGTGAGGATCCGGGTTAGAATAGGTCCTCAGTACCCCCATGCTTGTCGAAAAGGTGACTAAATGGGGCGGTCCTTCGGATAAGACCGTATTAACCGAGGCCCCGTATCACAGCAGGTGTGGTACGATAAAGATGCCTCCCTGCTCAAAGGCTGTAAGTGCCAAGCATAGGCCTAAATTTGCAGCCCTTCACCGGCAATGGTGACGTCTCCAGTGAAATATTCTGGAGAGGGACGTTAAACAGTATACAATCAATCAATCAATTCCGTATGAAGTTTGTCAGAGGTCCGAGGTCAATATGTGACCTAATCACAACGCGCAATAATACCTATCGGTTCATATATTATAAAAATGACTCTACTTGATTTTCATGTATAAAAATAAAAAAAATAAGCAAGTAAAATTATAATTATTAAAGACGATGAAGACAAATATAACTTCTTAAAACCATTTATTTTTGATTTTGCGATTGTGGCCACGACCTATACATAATACAATATATATTTTATTAATATATCATAACTCTTTATAAACCTTATCCTTATAAACCTTATATCCTTATCCTTATAAACCTTATCCTTATAAACCTTATATCCTTATCCTTAAAAACTTTATATCCTTATTCTTATAAACATTGTATCCTTATCCTTATAAAGTCCTGAAGATTTGAATACTGACAACATTCAAGCTGGTACTGGGTTAGCAGATACTCAGCAGAAGTTGTGAAAATAATTGTATCATGGAAGGTGTCTCGAAAAACCGCAGTGACTCTCCTTCACATCTCTTTATATGCAGGCCGTGACGAATGGAATTTCTATCACAAGTGTAACTGTCCCAACTAATGTCTCTCACATTTCACATGACACAGTTCAAGGTTGCCTGAAAATATATAGAAAACTACGGCAGAAAATGCACTGGCAAAATAGATTAACTTGACAAATGCATATAAATCATATACATATACATATACTTAATGTTATAAATAAGGGGAATGGGAGGGTGGGATTTTTAAGCTAAGAAACAAACACCACCCACCTCTCAATCCAACTGTAACAAATATTGTGACGTCAAAATTTAACAACAATAACGTCATCTATGGCAGGGCATTACGCGCACAAATCCATGGCTCGGATCTGAGACATAGTATTAACCATCGCTATAATAATTGGATTTATTTCAAAAGGAAATAAATCGTATTATTAAAGACGATGAAGACAAATATAACTTCTTAAAATCATTTATTTTTGATTTGGCGATTGTGGCCACGACCTACATAATACAATATATATTTTATTAATCGTTATAACATAACTCCTTATAAACCTTATCCTTATAAACCTTATATCCTTATCCTTATAAACCTTATCCTTATAAACCTTATATCCTTATCCTTATAAACTTTATATCCTTATCCTTGTAAAGTCCTGAAGATTTGAATACTGACAACATTCAAGCTGGTACTGGGTTAGCAGATACTCAGCAGAAGTTGTGAAAATAATTGTATCATGGAAGGCGTCTCGAAAAACCGCCAAATGGTTGTCCGTTGAAAATGACAACCACCGCCAACGAAGTTAGGTGGAATGAGAGACGCAAAATATCTGTAGGCGTGACCACATCTTGAAACTTAAAACACACATTTAACCTTTCATTGAAAAACATATTCTTGCAAAGCCCTTTGTAAGTTATATAGCAAGAAACAATTACCAATGTAGGACAGGGGAACTCCATCAATATTAAACATTTCATTTGAATCCCAAGTAATCTCTGGGTATATGATAAAGAATCCACCATTGACAGTAACTAAGTGATTCATAAAATTATTGAGTCTAACAGTAGCAAGATTTTGAGATTTTGAGTTTGAACTAAAACGCCATGAAATTGTGTTGGGTAGTGTTGGGTAGTAGTTCCCCAAGCTTTTTCAGTGTTGAACACATATTGGACCGTATTTGCATCAATGGAATTTTACCTATATCATTCCCTCCCCAGTAAATAATTAAAATTTCTGGAGGTGATTCATAACGTAACAAAAGTTTTATTTTTGGAATAAGGTCAAACCATTTCATACCCCCCTTTCCCAGCCAAAAAATTCTGTAATTTCTTCGTTTTAAACCTAAGTCCACACCATCAAAGGATTTTTCTGCATAGTAGAATGCCCATTTAATAATAGAAGAACCAATAATCCAAATAACCTTTTCATCTCCTATATAAAAATATGAAAAAATCAAACAAGAACATACTAAATCATAATATACCTTTTGAAGGCATCTGAACTCCATCTACCTTGCTTTTTTATTTCTGTTTCTGACTAACCGGAAGAGAAACTATCTGACGCGGAGCCAATACGGAAAGAATGAGATTTGTACTTGGAGTTTGGAAGACCGGCTATTTCGAGGGACTTGTTTAATACTGAACAGAATTGAAACCTTGTTAGAGGACTACCATCCATATGTTTAAATAATTGACCTTCAAATTTTGGCCTCATGGTAATGTACCTTTTCAACCAGTCAACTGGACAGATAGAATTCTTTGTTTGAATCAAACAAACGGATGTTCCTTTCCCAAGTTGGTCAGTTTTTGAGAAAGGAACTCTAAGCTCTACAAAAATTTCCCCAGAAGTTTCATTTTTTCTAAATTTTACATGTTCAATAGAAATAATTTGATTTGCTTGATTTGAACTACTAAAGCTAAATTCACCGATTCTTAGAAAAGCATGATAGGCTACCGAAAATGCCGTTGAAAAAAGAATGGCCTCGAAATTCGACGAACAAACTAAATTTGTTGCTTTTATAAGTTTCTCAAGAATGTGTTTTGTAATAGGAAGTCTACAATCTTTGGAACGGTTTGACCTTTTGATTCCTTCCAATAATTTTCTTATTAGAAAGTTTTTTGTATTGTCACAGAAACCCAATATTTTACATTTGAAACTTATTCCTGATATATAGGATGAAATAGTAGAATGAGCCAAACCTTGTAGGGATAAATGAGCAATAAACATACAAATGTGTGGAACAGGTGGGGGCCAAACAGTACAAAGTTCATACAAAATTCTAAATTGCTCAAAGCTTTTGAGACTAGTGGAATAAGTTTGCCTTGTATTTACTGATATTGAATTAAGTGCCAAGCGTTTAATTTCAGTTCCAAGATCAGTTTTACAAAATCTTCTGGAATAGGTGACGGATCTTGATTGGAGTTGGGAGCAAGAACTCGAAACCTGGTCCACTGTTTGCGAGAAATAGAATCAGCTATAGCGTTATTATAACCATCTATATGACAAGCTTTAAAGTAAAAATTGTTTACCATGGAATGTAAAACCAATGGCCTAACCAATTCCATAACTCGAGGAGATTTTGATGATTTTTTGTTTAAAATGGAAACTAAAGCTTTGTTGTCAGTGTGCAGCATTATTTTCTTGTCGAGAAATTCATTCTTAAATAAGAAAATTGCAAGGACAATTGGCACTAACTCTAAAAATGTAATGTCTAACATAATGTCTAGATTCTTCCAGCTATCTGGCCAACCAAAATATGCCCATTGCCCATGAAGGTAAAAGCCGCAACCTAAATGTTGATTTCCTGTACTATCAGTGTAGAGATGAAGTTGGTCATTAGACAACCAATTAACAGTCATGAAATTTAAACTGCCATTAAACTGTGTATGAAATCTAACCACACAAGAAGGTCATATTTCATTCCCTTTGTTACCCTAATGAAATGACTTGGGTATTTTATTCCACACATAGCATCACAAAATCTTCTATTAAAGGCTCTAACAGATGGAATAGCTTTAGCACAAAAATTTAGAGAACCTACCAAAGATTGTAATTCTCTCAGCGTAACTTTTGTTTTTTGTAACATATCAAGCAGTGATTTCTCCAGCTCGATAATTTTTTCTTCAGGAATTCGAATAACCATCTTATCTGTATCAATTTCTATACCCAGGAGTGTAAGTACCGATTTTGGGCCCTCTGTTTTCTCTTCTGCAAGAGGGATGCCAAAAGCAGAGCAGGTATTTTTGAATGATAACATCAACAGGTTACATGTTTCTAACGTGTACCCAGCAAATATGAAGTCATCTAAGTAATGGTTTAGAGTGTGAACTCCAGTTTTTACTTCTACTACCCACTGAATAAAATGTGCAAACTTTTCCCATAAAGCACAACTAATTGAACAACCCATTGGTAGACACATATCGTAAAAATATTGATCGTTAAACTTGAAACCAAGTAATTGATGGTCAGAAGGGTGAACCGGAAGTAATCTAAAAGCTGATTTCACATCCATTTTTCCCAGATAAGCCCCTTTTCCCAGTGACCCTACCATGTCTAAAACCTCGTCAAAAGAAGTGTATTGAACAGAACAAGCTTCGGGGTCTATGAAATCATTAACACTAAAATTAGAAGGATATGAAAGGTGGTGAATGAGACGCCAACCCCCATCCTTTTTTGCCACTACTCCAATAGGTGATAGCCTTAAATTGGACAAAGCTTCATGATTGAAGGGACCTGCTATTCGACCCAAAGAAATTTCTTTGTCAATTTTTTCTTTTACCTCTTTTGGGTGATCGTACACAGAAACTAAATTTTTACCGGTTGTTGACACTCTTGGGCCTTCATAATGTAGATAAAAACCTAATTCAAACCCGTTCTTTAATTCATTAGCTACAGTTTGATTACGAAAAATTGACAGATAAGGACACATATTATTCAAGTTAATTGGTGTTAAACCTGTTCTTACGAAAGGGGCCTGTTGAATACGTATTTGCTGCAGGCTGACGAAAATTTTAGAAGGGGGCTTGAAAAGCCCTAGAGGACGATGTCCTCTGTGCAGCTTGTTTATCAGGACAATGAATTGCAGGATGTTTGTTTTGACACTTTAAACACTGATGTTGATATTGACAATTTTGCATGCGACAAGAGCCTTTGTTGTTGTATTCATAACAAAATTTTGAGCTGACCTGAGAATTTTTATATACTGAGTTAGTATTTGGGGTTATGTAAAGAAGCCAAAGCTCTGGGTCGATTTTGTCCCAGGAAATACTGTTATCTTTGGCTCTTTTCAGTCGAAATTGTCGGTCGTATTCTCTCCAACCTAATCCACCAGAAACCCGACTGGCACCGACTTTGACATTAGCGATATATTTGATAAGGCTGTGAGTTTGATCAATATGTGCTGACAAATAAATACTCATATAAATAAAAAATGCATCCAGCCAAGTGTCAATTGTTGTAATTTTGATTGTATTTGCAGGTTTTAATGTGAGTTGACCATTTGTAAATAGAACTCTACTCTCCTGTGCATCAATATCTGTTTGCTTATTCAAAAGTGTATGCAATTCTACAAACTCCCCTTTCATGATTTTTTGTTTAACTGACTGAGTAACATGCATACCTAGATCATCATTTACACTGGTTATGCTCTGAGGCATAGAACATGAAGGGGAAATGTTGTCCAAACAAATGACTTTTAAGCTAAGAAACAAACACCACCCACCTCTCAATCCAACTGTTACAAATATTGTGACGTCAAAATTTAACAACAATAACGTCATCTATGGCAGGGCATTACGCGCACAAATCCATGGCGCGGATCTGAGACATAGTATTAACCATCGCTATAATAATTGGATTTATTTCAAAAGGAAATAAATCGTATTATTTTATTTAAAATGTAAACAATGTAAACAAGTATTTCATATAGTTTTTTTAGCTATTGATTCAACCTGTGTACGTAGAGAATATATACCGATAGAAACTAGGCTAGCCTTTGTTTACATTTTTTTCACTTTTGTCAGCTGCACAGTCTCTAACGTTCATCCTTATTTTTGGGGTAGACCTTTACTTAAATTTTCATGATATTTTTTTCTTTCATTAAATTCTACTCACGATAAATGTGTAAACCTTTGGAAAATATATCAGTGCAATCACACCTTGAACAGGTGAAAAACACCTCGGCGGTGTCGTACTTCAATGTAAGCTGTCGCCAGTGTCTCCGTATTTACTTCATCAATATGCCTTTAGTTATTGAAATCGTTGCTTGGGTGTTTTTGATCAAATTTAATACTGGATTGCAAATTAACTGGCTGGGACAAGTGTCTGCATCCATCGGACCCATCCATCCCTTTCCGGCGACCAAAATTCCTCCAACTTTTAACCATCAAACTTCGGACGTATTTCTTGTGTCTTTTCAGCATCGGTTCCCAATTTTCACGAATAAAGATATTCCCAAGACAACAATCTGTTCACTATTACTGATCACAAGTAGCCTTTCACAAAATATTGCCTTTGAAATTGTTTCTTTAGCCTAGTTAATTCGAAGCGTAACCGCCTTTCAAGCCGATTTACCATCTGCGTACTTTTTGTCGGAAATCTACGGCGAATGGTCAGTGCAATATTTTCATCGGAATATATTTAATTGTCCACCTCAAATGTAAATATAAGTAATAAATAACTTCACAGGATTTGATGACGCGACCAATTCACTTCAATTCCCATTGAAGTTTATTAACTTGTTATTAATTTCTTAAATGAGATTAATATGATCCTGCACGTTGTGTGATGTAAACTTAAGCCATTATCCCATCTATCATTATATCATCAGCACAGGCATCTGACATTACTTATTTTCAATAAAACATATTCCCAACCAAATTATAAACAGTTTTACAGTTCTAGGGAGTATAAATGTATTCTTTATTGAAAGAAAAATAAGTAACGTCCTATATCACACTCTGGGTCAACAAATTAACCATCCAATACAACATCTCTTTATATGATATCTTAAGCTGTCAACTATCATTTGGCCAAGAAAAAAATCCTACATTTTAGCTTTAAAACTTAATCATTTTTTGTTTCTCTTTATATGGAGTTCTTCTTCAAAAGTAGATCAATATGCATCAGTCTAAAAATGGCAACAATAATCCAGCCCTATACAAAATACATTTAAGGTCAAGTTTCATGTGATACATGTATCAATTCAATCGCTCTACTGCAAGAAGAACTTAAGGTACCTGTACCCTATCCATGATAGCCTCATATTCGGAGAAATTGAATGCATAATAGGTATATATTAGCTAAATACTAAATATGTGAAGACATAATCTTCATGTTTTAGTATCAATATGCAATAGCGGAATGTGTCCTAATTTTTTCCCTTGACCCGTCGTTGAAGAGTTATTTCCATTTGTTTCAGATTTAAACTGACAACAGCGGTCACCAAACAAGGAGAAGACTGTTACAGAGAAATTAACATCATTGTCCATAAACAGAAAATCTGAAATTGATGAGATTAAAACTAAACACCTGGCTGCTCTAAATAAGCAGGATAAAGAAATCAAACAGATTACTTCTTAGGTATAACAGTGCATAATTGATCTGAAAATACTGGACTCCAATGATGTCTCTCTAACATCTGCATACAATGCAAGGAATGCTGAATTCCGAAGTTTACCCCATAAAGCCAATGCTTCATTACCAAGTTTCTCTCCTCATCAGATCAACAAAGAATAGCTCCATGGAATGTTTGTTTCTCTGTCAACATTACCCATTACAACAGAATATGACAACACAAAGGAGACACCAGAAGCTGTATCCTGTCCTCCAGTCAAACCACAACTTGATGAACCAGAGCTCATCACCACCATGGACACTATACAGTGTTACCTGTCTCAGTGATGAAAAAATCTTGACACGTGGACAACATAAAATGATACTCTAGAACCTCCAAAGCAAACTACTGAAGTCATTCAAAACTAAGTCAGGGGACAGACCACATGACATAGCAATGACAAGGAGTGGAGATCCAGTTTATACTGTCCCAGATACAAGAACTGTAAACACAGTGAAGAATGACCAGAATCAGGAAGTAGAGACCTTACAATATCTGTAGTACCTCCTCTCGTGACATCCTGGTCACAATGTACAGCTATATATGATAAACCATCAAAAGTTGTCATTTACTCTGGCTTTACAGAGAAACAAACCATTCAGTTTGATAGCAATGGTAAACATCTGTATTCATCTAGTAACACTTCATACATCAGTGAGAACAGGAACCTGGATATCTGTATGGCTGACAACGAGGCCCGTGCAATAGTGGTGGTTAATAAGGCAGGAAAACTCTGATTTAGATACACTGGTCATCCATCTACTTCCAAGAGATCAATCTATCCATACGGCATCGCAACAGACAGCCATAGTCAGGTCCTGACAGCAGACTTTATTAACAACTGTATCTACATCTAAGATCGGACAGTTCCTATGTTATGTTGATAATTGTGACCTATGGCGTCCATGGGGCCTAGGTACAGACACCAGAGACATCTAAAAATGTGTTTTAAAAAATGACATGTTTTTGATAGAATTCTTCTTTTTTTTCTAGTAGTTAGGTGCGTCTAAGTGTGTGAAAATACTGTAAACAGGGTAATTTTCGCCCCGTGTTATTTTCTCCCTTTCACATCTGAAAACAAGTTTGTCCCGCTTTAAATTCGCCCAAAAAGATTTTTGCTAAAGATATTATACAGTTTACTTTGAATTCGCCCCGTTTTAAATTCGCACACGCTAGACTAGGGCGAAAGGGGCGAAATTAAACGGGGGCGAAAATTTCCCTGTATTTAGTAGTCAACATAATAACATCAACAAGAAAAAAATATAAATAATACATGCATTAATAATAATTGATCCTATCATTATTCTTCCCAAGGTTTGAATCACTGGAATCATAAGATATAACATTGGAAGAAACCTTCAATATCTCATAAAAATACTGTGTAAATTTTCGAGTATGTATACGTAAAAGACATGAATTATGCTTGTATATTTAAGTCGACCTCTTTCATGCACTTTACACTAGAGTTTCGATTCTATTGTATTTTGTATTTAATAAATAAATGACATTTTGGGGCTACTTTAAGATTTACAATGCTAATACTTATCAAAAATAGTATTTTTCTGTTTAAAAAATCGTTTTAAATAGAAAATTTGTAATCAAACACCATCCATATCAATTAAGAATGGTTAATACATAATTAACAAATAACTATGAAAAGGCATGCATTTCATGATAGATATCAAACAATTATACACAATATTCAACACATCTTTGACTCAAGACACATTTATCAAGATATTAGTGATACTCTTGAGTTAACAACTGAAGATTTAATTTTGAGGATTTTTGCATTCCCTCAAAATAGTTGCACTCAATCACAAGTTGTCACAATTACATTTGTAATTTCATTATACATTATACAAGTCTTGGATTTGCCCACTTTAGGTCAAGATCTATAGTAAATGTAAGGTGCCTACAGGTTTCTCTAATTTGAGAAATGTATTAAGTCATTTGGCTTTATAATTAAAAATATATAAATTAATTATGGGTATTAAGAGTATTTTAGCAGATTTTAAAATTAATTCCATGAATTTCAAACTGCTTTACTACTGTATACTAAATTTCTATTGAAGCTGTAAAGTACGGGAAAATGCAACATCAAATTAATTATAACGTCATAATGGTTCTACCACAGGCTAAACACATGATGTCATACGACGTAGGTTGTACGTTAATGCGAATTAAGGGGGCCGACTATGGTTTCCATTGCACAATATTTCGGGCAACATAGTAAAATGAAGCGTATTTACTGTTTTAAAGCAACTTTTTTCACTTAATTAATAAAACAAAATAAAATAAAGAAGTTAAGGGTCGGAAAATTTTATTATAATTTTAAACATTAACTGATTCTTAAAAAGATTTTTCAAGTGACAGGTAGATTAGCGTCGTAATAATGTGTTTTTGACGTTGGATAACGTGAAGCTCTCAAAGATGGTGTAATAAAAATGTTATAAAAGAAAAAGTAATAAACATATGTTCTGAATTTTTAGACATAGAAATTTGATAATCTCTCAGTCATATTTATAATTTTATGAATAAATCGTTTGTATGGTTCATATATTTTAGTACTCTATAAAAACAAGGAAATTTGTTATTATTTGGCATTTTGAGATGCCCCCTCTGGAAAGAGGGCGGTAAAATTTTGTGGTTCTTGCATATAATGTACAATTTAGTATTACCCATCATATATTATAGTTTCAGCAAAAAGTCTTTTGTAGTATTTGTATAATTTGCTTTGAAGTGCGAAAAATGGGCACTTTCTAAAATAATCCTATAGTAAATGTACCTGTATTTTGAGACGGTCCCTTAACAATACCTGGGCGGTAGATTTTCCCAAAACTTTGCATGTACACTTAAGTTAATGTAAATTACATATGGTATAAAACTGAATAGTTTCGCTATTGTAGTTTTAACACAATAAAACCATAGTCACCCTCTTAAATTTGAACCACGTTAACACAGATAGTTTAATTAGAATTAGTTTAATTCGAATTTATTAACTGCGCATTACATTACAGTACTTTGCATTAGTACCGCGTAAACACTAAACGAATCGAATTCAAATTAAATTTTTTTACACATGTGTAAGGCCAGAATTTAGTAGCAGGCTACATGTCCGTGCTAAAGTTAAGGTATGTTTGCTATTTTTGTTTGATAATTAAAGGCAAATTATGTAAATCTTTCGATTATATATGTATATAACCACTTTGATGATCATGTCAAAAGGTTCTGCTCTGCATAAATGACGTCATTTACCAATGAAGTCGTAATAACCTTACTGAATAGCTTATTGTAAAAAAAATAATTACCATTAGTTTACTTCACTTTACCTGTTGTGTGAACGCAATTTAATTCTAATTATTTTCAAATTGCATTAGTTTACTTCGCATTAAGTTACTGTGTAAGCAGGGCACTAGTATTTGTTATTCATCCAAGGATTGAAATCAATCAGAATAAATTAATTAAACACTTTATAAGCATGTTATTCATGAACTCGAGACGTGAGATAACAGGATTTGCTTGTAAATGTAACCTATATAAAAAATAGATTCAGTGAACTTTATTGTAGATGTTTTCATTTCAAAAAAATTACATACACCTTTAAATACATGGTCAACAACAGGCCTATGGGCCACATCACTCACCTGAAAAGCTTTGACCATGCTGTTCTTTACCAAATTTCCCCCTTTGTTAAACATATTGTAACCCCACCCTACCCACTGATCATATTTAGGACAATTTGAAATCAACACTATTCTACATGTAGGAAGCTTCCACACAAGTTTCAGCTTTTCTGTCCCAGTGGTTCTTGAGAAGATTTTTAGAAATTTTTCCTATATATTTCTATGAGAAACTTTGAATCCCCATTGTGACCCCCCCTACCTCCGGGGTCATGATTTGAATAATTTAAAACCTACACTGCCCCAGGATGCTTCCACGTAAGTTTAAGCTTTTCTGGCTTAGTGGTTCTTTAGCTTTTCTGGCTTAGTGGTTCTTTAGAAGAATATTTTCAAAGATTTTTCATATATATTTTCTGTGTAAAACTTTGATTCCCCATTTGGCCCCGCCCTACCCTCGGTGGTCATGATTTGAACAATTTAGAATCTACACTTCCCGAGGATGCTCTCACATCAGTTTCAGCTTTTCTTGCTCAGTTGTTCTTGAGGAGAATATTTTCAAAGATTTTTCCTATATATTTCCATGTAAAATATTGATTCCACATTGTGACCTCATCCGATACCCCAGGGGTCATGATTTGAACAATCTAGACTACTTCAGAATGCTTCCACATAAGTTTCAGCTTTTCTTGCTTTGTGGTTCTTGAGAAGAAGATTTTCAAAGATTTTCCTACATAATTCTATGAAAAACTTTGAATCCCTATTGTGCCTCCCCTACTTCCGAGATCATAGTTTGAACAATTTAGAATCTACACTACCCCATAATACTTCCACATAAGTTTCAGCTTTTCTGGCCCAGTGGTTCTTGAGAAGATTTTTTAATGACCTCACCTTATTTTTGTCGTATCTTGTTCATCTCCCCTTGTGAGAAAACATGGTCCTTTTTTAATAATTTAAATTTCCATTTACCCAAGGATGCGTTGAACCAAGTTTGGTCAAAATTGGCCCAGTGGTTCTTGAGAAGATGTCGAAGATGTGAAAAGTTTAAAGACGGAAGGACGGACAGATAGAAGGACGGACGACGGACAAAATGTGATCAGAAAAGCTCACTTGAGCATTCTTCTAGGTGAGCTAAAACATTTATAAAACAGATATTAACAGATCGGGTTCCATGCAATATCAGCGTAATTGCTCCACTGCCTTTTTAACTTGATATTAAAATCCTTTCTTTGATATACATACTTTTTTTCTGAATATCTTTATTTTAAGTTTTTAAGATTTGTCACAGTTTGATTATGAATATTAAAGTATATAAATTTAAAGTATGTGACCGCGACTGCGAAAAAGGGTCCAGATGCGGCACACGTCATAATGAGAAATTGGCGATAGTTCTGAATGTTTGCGTCACAATCGAAAAAAAATAATAACGCGTGAAAAAAATTGCTGTACACGTGCTTCTGAAAAAGTTGATCTCATTGTAAATTGGAAATGTAGGGAGTTCAAGCACTAAACATGAGCAACATCGATAAATATACCATCAGAAATTGTTCTTTATCAAGATGATGAATTTTTAGAAGATATAGAGCGAGTGGATGAATTATATTTATCTAAACTTGTTGCTCCAAAATCTAACGTGCGCGACAGACAGTTTTGTGATCTGTCAAGTGACAGCGAGACAGATACGAGTGATTTTGGTGCTGTAAATTATGATTCTGACTCTGAAAGTGACAATGACAACTATGATGGGGATGTATATATACCGAATAAAGTTAATGACACCGACACGAAGGAATACATAATTCGTTCCAAATTTCAGAATGACACTTGCGGGTGTAAGGAGTTTTATGGAATGCCATGTAGCACGAAAATTGACTTTGATGCAGCATGTGAGTTCCGTGATCATTGTCTACAGTGTACTCGGGAGGAACTTGACACTATACTTAAAGCTGAAATGTTTGCACATAGGCGATCTGGTTCTGTCACACAGTCCAAGAAACACAGAGAAAAAGAACGAGAAAGACCATTTCAGGAGTACTACTTCAATGGATGCAGAGTGTGTCGTACAACATTTTGTTTTGTACATGCGGTTGAAAGAAAAAAAATCCATAAAGTTGCCAGATCTCTTGATACAGAAGGGTTTTTACCCAGAACACATGGAAACAGTGGTAAGGCTCCGCATAATAGCTTATCAGTGACAGACAGGGATCGAATCAAAACATTTATTACCAAGTATGCTAGTGACCATGCCCTGCCTCTACCAGGCCGACTGTCAAATTACAAATCTGAGAAAGTGCTTCTACTTCCGTCGGATACGACAACTGCTGACATTCATGCTAATTATGAGATTCTAGCTGAAGAAATGAACTTCAGAAAAATACACTTAAGGACATTTCAAAGAACTTGGCATGAGTTGTGTCCATTCATTACAATCATGAAGCCATGCACTGACCTGTGTCAGCTTTGTCAGAATTTCTCTCATCAACTGTCGACAGTTTCTAATATGAATGATGAGGAAAAGGAAGAAATCCTTTCTACTTACACGCAGCATGTTTCCCAAGCTAAACAGCAAAGAGACTACTACAGACACCAGTGTACCACCAGCAAGGAAGTGTTCATTTCCTTACCAGAGGAATGTAAACAAACTGGTAAGTTAAAATTTTATTGCAAAATTAAATTTTTCCTTTAGTGTATAGTTACAAGTATGGTATACTTTCCTTCATTAGCATTAAATGAACATTCTTGTACAATTATATGTGCTTGGATTTGGACTATATTATCAGCCTGGGTAGCTCAATGGGTAGAACACCTGACCAGGGGTCAAGGGTTCAATTCCAGCCATGCATTTTCTCCTCTTTTCCTTGGTACTATTAATAGGAAAACAGACATACCAAAGTGTTTGCAAAAATTTCTTCTGTAAAATTGAATTTCTTTGTTCATGAACTAGTAAATACAATGAATAACTTTCAATGCATACAAATGATCAAGAATGATTAATTTTATTCAAGGAAATGCTCCATGCTCAGTTGATGTGGAAATGCACTATTCATGGGACTATGCTCAACAAGTTCATTTTCCACATCATGCCCAACAAGTGGGACCAATATTTTTTAAGACGCCCCGGAAGTGCAATGTGTTTGGTGTATGTTGCGAGGGTTCAGGTATGTTAATTCATAAGTCATGATATGTCAGATATATATTTCTTAGTTCTACAATTTATTCAGAAATAACTGTACATGTAATTCTTATTAGAATTTATTAATTACCTTTTTATGTGGAAATCTAATATTTGACGAAATAGTAAAATCACATGGAAAGGAGGATACTCTTTCAAATATAGAATAATACATGTATGGGACTGAGTCTTAATAAAACAATTTGGTTCTTATGAATTCTATTAAATATAGTTGCAGCAAAATATTAACACATTCTGTTTTTGTCATAATGCATACATATAGGGTAAATAAACAAGTCAATGGTTGAGTTACCATATTAAGTTCTGATCAAAATTTTTGTTTTTACTTAAATGGCAGGAAAACAAGTGTTCTACTTGATTGATGAGGCTGAGAACACAGGAAAGGGTGCTAATTCTGTCATTAGTATGGTTCACCACTTTTTTCGATACCATGGATATGGAGAAAAAACAGCAGCCATTCATTTCGACAACTGCAGTGGGCAAAACAAAAACAACTTGGTCTTATGGTACATGTATGCTATATGGAGAGTTCTTGTAGGTAAGTGCACATCAAAAGAAAATTGAAAAATATTTGATTTAATTTGTAAAAGCATTGTTTGATATTCAGTATGTTCATGATGTTCAATGCCGAAAGTGTTACATAAATGTATTATGTCACTTTTGATAGTCAAGAAATGTTAACTCTTTCTAAATTTAGCGTTTAAATTTAAATTAAGGAGTGTATTTCTTTTCAATCAGGACTCCATGTTATTGTGGAATATTCTATGATGGTGGCAGGACACACTAAATTTGATCCTGACTGGCATTTTGGAGTCTGGAAAGTAAAATGGCGTTCATCTACAGCAGAAACCATGAATGAAATAGCAGACACAGTCCGTCATTCATCCCGCAGAGGCCATAACATTCCTCAGCTCGTGTCAGATCCACAAACACCTGTGCAGTTTAGGGACTGGAAGTCGTACCTTGAACAGTTCTTCAAACCGTTGAAAAACATTCGAGGCTATCATCATTTCCGAGTAAGTGCTGAGATTCCTGGTGTTGTTGAATGTAAGGAACTCTGTAATTTTGTTCCTTTGTGTGTTAATCTCCTGAAAGATCAGAACATCCTTCCCTCCGTAAATGATCCTCTGCCTCAAGAAATCCCAGCACCTGGTCTTGACCCCAAGAGGCAATGGTACTTGTATGAGGAAATCCGTGAACATTGTCTATCACTCTCTTCTAAAGACACATCCTGTCCAAAACCAGTCGTACCAAAGAAAGAGGTGAAAGTTTATTCTCCTGATCACTCTAGTACGTCACATTTGGGGAAAAGGAAAAGTCTTCTCCTTAGATGAAAGGGAGGATTATTGTGTGTAAGAAAGATTAGAAGTAAGATGTATACATGTAATGTGTTATTTCCCATAATGTGTTACATTCATGTACTTTTCTGTCCATCGAATTTCATTGCTTTAAAACATTTGTTGGAATTGTTATGTTTACCCAACTGTTTACATAAGCTGTGTCCTATGAGTAGTGTTTCATCTCAACAGTTAAAAAAATGTGTAACAGTAAGAAAATTGTTATATGATGTTTTCACCTTCTCTGTGACATTTTCCTTTAAATGCATTTTGGACATATTTAGTATAACCAAAAATATTACAAAACTTTGTCAAATATGATTAACTACAGATTTTTAATTTTCAAAAGATGCGATTTTCACACTGCCCCCAAAAATTTAATTGTTATAATCTTTATACTTAATACTGTTGATAATGTCAAGAAAGTACAGATGCATACATCTGTAATATCATAACAGTACATTTTGTCTATAATATGCATGTTTGCAATATTCAGAGTGCTAATTTTAAAAATAGTTACCTGCTATTCATATTTTTGTGATTTTGCTTACAGCTGTTAAAGAACCTCTGTCATTCTGTAATTTATGTGATTCCTGGTGTATTTTGTCATAACAGGGAATAATAATTTTTTTGTTATTTTGGAATGTAATTTCAGTTTGCATATTTATCTTGATAATAATTATTGTGCATTTCTCATGTTTCTAGAGTTTATTTTATTGAAAATAAATGGTTGGATTGTTCTGTTTATTATGCATGTTTTCTTCCCTTTCTCTCTTTGGTCATCGATGATGGTAGGATAATAAGTCGGACTTCTGAATCAAATTCAGTTTTTCCAATACTGGCAATAGCCATATGTAATAAGTAACAGTCATATGTAATAAGTAAGAATGACAGTATATTTAATGATTCAGTTTATTTTCATCATATCTAAGCAAGATTTTAAGAAGAGTTTAAAGAAAAAGAAGAGAATGTTCTTAATATACCAATAGACTGAAATTGTTGAGATATGATTTCTAATTACGACGTTATGGTAACGTCACTGACGTTATGATATGAATTGAAGATGCCTGCATTCCTGGGCCTGCATCTTCTTTATTTTCAATGATATTTGCATGACATTTTGAATTTGTGTTATTCAAAGTATCCTGATTTTAAAAAAACAATAAAATTAATTTCGATTTTTTACTCATCTGGACCCTTTTTCCCAGTCGCGGTCACGTATTATTTTTGAATTACTCGATTGAAAAGCAGGGTAGATGAGAGTACATGTATATAGTGATGGGGATGTTTGTCCATCTGTCTTTCGTATGTCTGTAATTTACACATTTGGCGTATCCATCTCTTATCAACAGTTCCTCCCATATCAGTGAATAAATTTAATACTATCAAAAAATCTCTGTTTTATTTTAAAATGTTCTTTTGTGCTATATACAGTGTGGTCTTGAACCACGCGTACTCAATTTAATATGGACTAAAATATCCTCATAAAATGTCCAATGTGCCCTGTGATTGGTAACTTTATATTAATTATTTAATCACATAAAACACTGATCTATTTATAATGCAGACTGTAAGAAATAGACATATGAATCATATTTCAATTCTAGCTTTGGGAGAGAATTTAAGGTGGGTTATGGGAAATCTTTTTGAGGAATGATTTTACCAGGTCAATCTTTTGTATCTTTTAGAGGGGTGAGTTGTGTATTTTACATGTTCAATCTTAAAGAGGGATAGATTGTGGATTTTACCCGTTCAATCTTTTGTATCTTTTTGAAGAGTGAGTGATGTATTTTACCTGGTCAATCTTTTGTATCTTTTTCAGGAGTGAGTGATGTATTTTTAATTAGTCAATCTTTTGTTCCTCTTTGAGTAGTCAGTCATGTATGGCGGAGTTTGCTGTCTCTTACATTGTCTCTATATCTTCACTGGTCACCCCCCCCCCCCCACACACACCTCATCATAAGCTGTCTGTCTACGTCTGGTAAAGATGCTGCATCAGATTCTTCAAATGATGAGAGAGAAATCCCTGTCAAATCTGTAAACATTGAAGATTAACTAATCAGAAATCACTTTCTTCCCTGTTACACTTTCAAACAATTTTTCCCTATTAAAATTTATCCAGACTCGGTCATGTCTGTTTTCTTAAATTCGCTCAATTTCAAATCCTCACACTTTCGAATAAGGCATAAAATAAAATTTGAGTCAAAAAAAAAATCCCTGCATACAATGCTCACAAGAGATGAAAAAAATGATAAGGCATACACTCATTTTTACCACATTAAAACATGAGATACAAAGAGCCTGTCTAACCTTGAAGTCTCCTGAGTTGAATGTGTCTGCGTGTCTGACTCTGGTACGAGGATGTCTGCTGATTGACAGGAACGCAGTTAATGAGATAATGCTCCCGGTGGCGCCACAACATAAACAGACAGTTCTCCAAGATGTCTGCAGCACAGTCAAGGGAGCCACAATTTATGTTTGGTCTTGCATTTCAATGCTTTACCTATCCTCATATTTGAAATAATTGCTTTAAATGTTTCTCTTTATTCCTATTTTTTAAATTGTACAGCAGTTTCCAAGGCTAAATTAATTTTTTCATTAAACTTCGAACATAAACTTTTGCGTTCCCAAAGTCATAATATTTTGCTTCATTCATAAAGGATACACTTACTGCAGTTGTTCCTCTTTGTAGTGTACAATTATGGTGAGGCGAGTTTTAGCGAGTTTCTGTTTTTATTGATATCTGAGCTTCTCCTTAACTCGAAAAAGAAAACTAAAAACTAAACTGATAAGTACATCATAGATACAATAACGGCATAAAAAGACATAATTTTTATGCTTAAAATTACAACGGTGAACCTTCTCTGATTCCATTTCCTTTGTAGGTCTCAATTTTCTCTCTTTACCTGTTAGACTCTGTAGTTTACGGAGGTGTCGTTTGTGTCTTTACCTGTTTGAGGTCGTCTGTATTAAGGTCAGCCAGACTCTGTAGTTTACGGAGATGTTGAGTGTGTCTTTACCTGTTTGAGGTCGTCTGTACTAAGATCAGACAGACTCTGTAGTTTACGGAGATGTTGAGTGTGTCTTTACCTGTTTGAGGTCGTCTGTATTAAGGTCAGCCAGACTCTGTAGTTTACGGAGGTGTTGTTTGTGTCTTTACCTGTTTGAGGTCGTCTGTACTAAGGTCAGCCAGACTCTGTAGTTTACGGAGGTGTTGTTTGTGTCTTTACCTGTTTGAGGTCGTCTGTACTAAGATCAGACAGATTCTGTAGTTTACGGAGATGTTGTTTGTGTCTTTACCTGTTTGAGATCGTCTGTATTAAGGTCAGCCAGACTCTGTAGTTTACGGAGATGTTGTTTGTGTTTTTACCTGTTTGAGGTCGTATTACGGTCAGCCAGACTCTGTAGTCTAGTAGCAGAGTATTGTTCTATGTGCACATACAATTTGAATTTTCGACCTTTTCATCGACCGTTAATGTTGATTTAACGGTCGCAAACTGAGTTTTACCGGCGACGCTTAAGCGGGGCCCGTAAAACGGATGTTTGCGACCGTTAAATCAGCATTAACGGTCGCATATACCAAATTAGAAGAGTGTTATTTTCATTCTAATGCCATCTACGCATTTGTTTGTTGTTTACGGCTTATTTTGTTGAGTTTCGTTATATGAAATACGTCATGGGGAATTGTGTTTTTGCGTCGCTCTATTATGACGCACTATGAAAAGCTTTCTCTCTCGTAAATGCTCGTTTTACTGCTTCAAACATCAGTGCATTAGCCAATCAAAACTTGTTTTACAAAACAAATGCATTAGAATGCAATATATAACATGTATAAATAATTATCTAAAATAATATTAATTGTACAAATAATTATCTTATTTTTATCAGCTCTAAACCTTATGACCTCACATTAAGTAGGAGTTTTCTTAAGTCAAAGAGAGTAATTTAATAGGTCACATTGATATGGTTAGGACTCCTAATTGCATTATTTTTTTTATTTTATTAGTTATTTAAGA